ATTAGTTTCCTCCCATGCATGATTTAGGATGTCTTAATGAGTTAAGAAGTTAGGGTTTTTGATGTTGAGCACTTAATAGCCATGCAAGACCATAAAGTTGGAAACTTTATGGTTAAGGACAACATTTGAGGACTAGATCTGGAATTTGGACGAAAAAGCTTAAAGGATTAAGCTCTTAATAGATAGAAATAAGGTCTGAAGTGTACGTTGGGCGTACGAGGTTAACACCATGTTTCTGGTCAAGGATTGAGTATGCTAAGCGTACCAGCTGAGTATGCCCAACGTACTCAATTGAGTTGACCCGATTGACTTTTTGACTTTGAAGGGTTTGGCCAAGTTTGACCTAAGGGTATTTTGGGTATTTTGATTTGTATTTGAGATTTGTCACTATTTGATGAATAGGTGACCGGTAGAGGTGATATTCAGAGCATTGTCTTGTTCAACGATCTTTTAATACCGAGATGTGAGTTTTCCTCAATGTACTTGTGGGTCGAAGGCACGAATGTTGGCCTACTAGGTTATGTATCCTGGTATATAGGATATTGTTATGCGATAGTGATCTGTAGATATGCATGTGAGTCTGTTGATTGATTATATGCTTATTTGTTACTAGTCATTTATCTGTTATGTATATGTCGACATTGTATGGTTTGGTTGAGGCAATGTTGCTTTGTGCGGAAGCCACCAAACATGGGAGCAAGCCAGACATAAGGCATGCCAGACTTATGTTGTGGGCTCGGGAGTAAGCCAAACATTAGCTGTGGGCCGGAAGGCAAGCCAGACTTATGTTGTGGACTCAGGGGGCAAACCAGTTTGTTAGTTATGGACCCAATATGCATGCTGTTATATGTTGTATGGTGGTACTTTGGGGGGGGGGACTCATTAAGCTTTAGCTTACAGTTCCAGTTTATCGTTTCAGGTACTGAGGATGATCGTGGCAAGATGAAGGCGTGATCGTACACATCATTCGATGATATGTTTTTGGAGATTTTATGATACACTGATCTTGGGGATATTTGTATTTGATATTTGATTTTGGATATGGGTTTGTTTGAAACAATGGTTTCTCTTATTTTTTAAATACGAAAATTTTTATTGTGATTTTGGGGATGATACAGTTTTTATTATCGTAAAATGATAGACGTTTTTCTTAAAAAAAATGTACAAATGCATCGCTTTGGTGATTTTTATAGGTTTTGATTTGTATTAAGACGAAGTTTATTTGAGTATAAAAGTTATTACATTTTTTATTTTATAAGTATATGTGCTTTTTGTTAATTGCATGGGACACATATAGGAATATAACTTTTATTTTAGACAAAACTTCAAAAATGGTCCCTGTGGTTTTCGAAAATATCAAGTTTAATCCCTAAGTTCAAAAAACCTCACAGATGGTCCCTGTGGTTTCAAAACTTTTAACAAATGGTCCTTTTCGCTAACTTCGTTAGTTTTTGGCCGTTAAGTGAAGGGTATTTCTGTCATTTCACTGCCACAGGGACCATTTATGAAGATTTGCCTTATTTTAATAATAATAATAATAATAATTTAATATTAAAGGGTCCCACATCTCTCTCTCTCTCTCTCTCTCTCTATCTCTCTCTCTCTCTCTCCTAAAAAATAAGCTACAACAATGGAAGCTGCAACAATCATGTTACCAAACCTCACTCATTCAAATCCCCCGAAATCCCTCGAATCACTCCATATATCTCACACCCAACTCTACCATCTATGATTCTTAATTAAATTTCCAATTCACAACATTTGGGTTCAACTTTTTCTACTCATCGTCTTCCCCATACACACCCACAAATAAGAAAAACCCAAAATCGAAAACTCCATATTTGTCCACCGAATCACATCCTAAGAAACCGGTCTCGGCCAATGAAGAAGCACCACTAGGGACGATCCAAAATTGCAAAACCGGAATCCCACAAGGTAAGCATCGAAACCCAAAAAAATTGAAGATATAATTTGGCAAATAGGGCATGAAGCCGCCTGTGAGAAGCATGAAGATGGTGGCTAAGAGAACCAAGAAGGTGACCGGGGTTGGGAATAAAGTGACAAAAGAGGGGTTTGTACATCAACAAGAAACAAATCTGTCTACTCATTCTCCTGGAATCGATTCAAAGTACAAGGATGGGGTTAGGCTGAGTTCACAAAGCTTACCAAGAGTGGGGGAGGAGGGGGAACTCGGTGGCGTGCGGCAGGGGGCTGCTCCAACGGCCTTCTGCTGCTTTTCTTCTGTTTTAAATGGACGTAGATACGAGTGGAGGAACTCGGTGGTGGTCAGAATCAGCAATGGCGGTGGTTGTAGGTGGTTTTCTCTCCGGTGAAGGTGGTGGATGGCGGTTTTCGGCCTTTCTTGCAACAGAAATGGTGGTGGTGGTTGATTATCTGAATAGGAGAGGGACGGAGGGGGTTAATAGTCAATAACAATGGCAGATGGTGGTGATTCACGGTAGTTAAAGCCACCGGTGTTGGTTCTTTAATGAAGGCAACGATGTCTTTTGACAACCCTTCGTGGTGGTGTCGTTTCTTGACAGTAGGTTCATGAGAAGGAGAGAAAAAGGAGGTGAGGTGGTGATGTTTGATCGAATCAATGGTGGGGATGTGGTATTTCATGGGTCGTCCTGGGTTTAGTTTAAGAGCAACCAAACAAATGCTCTAATTAATTATGCAATATCTCATTTGATCAGGAAGAAAGAAGAGTTATCATTTTTCTGCATTTATGGTGTTGACTTTCAAGGGGGGGGGGAGGGAGAGAGAGAGAGAGAGAGAGAGAGGTGAGACCCTTTAATATTAAATAATAATTTTTTTTTTAAATAAGGCAAATCTTCATAAATGGTCCCTGTGGCAGTGAAATGACAAAAATACCCTTCACTTAACGGCCAAAAACTAACGGAGTTAGCGAAAAGGACCATTTGTTAAAAGTTTTGAAACCACATGGACCATCTGTGAGGTTTTTTGAACTTAGGGATTAAACTTGATTTTTCGAAAACCACAGGGACCATTTTTGAAGTTTTGTCTTTATTTTATTATCTCTTATGGACATTATTAGGTAAAATTTCAAAATTTGTTCATTTGATTTCTAGAAAGTATCATTTTAAGGACAATATAAAAAATGTCACTTCATTGGTCCATGTGGTTGCAAAAGCTTGCATGGTTGGTCGTTTTGACTATCTTTGTTAAAAACAAGGTTAAATAATTATGAAATTACCAATTTACTCTTATTTATTTATTTTGTCATTTTTTACATGTTTCTTTAAAAAAAACTCTAACCCTTTTTGCACCTCCATCTCCTTCGCCTTCATCTTACTGCCAACCCACCATCACAAGATTTGCCACCACCCACCACTATGAAAACCATTTTCTACACCTCCACATCTTATCCAATCACCACATTGTTTGCCTATCGACACCATCTCTATGTCTCATCAAAAACCCTAACAATTTGAGTGAAAAAAAGTCCAACCATTCCCAATTAAGTACCAACGACAAAAATTCACCATCTATCAAACACACCACCACCAAAGTTAGCAGAACCATAAAAGAAACTTACCAAATGAATGAAGACTCAACTTGAGCAAATCCTTCCAATATGAACACCAATTCCCTAGTATTGAAAAAATAAATAAATAAGAAACCATAAGAAAAAGAAACCAAAAGAGTATATCATTTATCCTAAAATTTTAGACCCATTTGAGCCAAACCCTGTAATTTTTCACATATTTAATATTGAACAATTTTCAGATCATCCAATGACAATGATCCTTTAAAGTAATATGTGTCTTCTTAAACCTTTCATGTTCACTAACATGCACTAATGTTGAAGAACATAACAAATATGGGATAAACAAAATCAAATTCGAAATAAAAAATAAAAAAGGGACCTAGAAACAATTTAAAAGAAATATTGAAAATCAAAATTGGGAATGAATGAAAAGCAAAATCAAAATCAAAATCAAAATCACCATCATTCCAAAATATATAGAACAAAACCGTTTTCATGGTTGCTACTCTTCTTTAACATCCAAATAGAAGTGAGGGGTGAATCATTTTCATCTTCAATGTCTTTGTGGGACCAGAATAAGAGGAACAAAAGGAAGAAACTTCGAGATCTGTAACATTTGTCTTTTTGTATATGGTTTGACCGGCGAGATTGAAATGGGGTTAGAAAAAATACTTGTGGTGGAGAGGGCGCCGGAGGTGAATTATGATGGTTAGCAGATGCGAGGCTGATGAAGGTGAGTCATGATGACGATGGGAATTCTTTGTTTGTGTTGATTGGTGAGGTGTGAGATAGGAAAGGAAAGACGATGTTGGTCTGCCGTATAAAACGTATCCTTATTTTCACATTAATCCTAATTGTTTAATGTGAATTTATTTAAATGGTAATATAAGAAAATTTAGAAATAAAAATAAAAATAAGGGTATAAATGTCTTTTAACATACAACTAACGGTTAGTTATTAACAAAGTTATCCAAATGAGCCAAACACGTAACATTTAGAAACACAAGGACGAACGACGTGATGTTTTCGATAACTGTCCTGTAAGTGTGACTTCTGGAAACCATTAGACTGACCCTATTACATATATATAAAAGGTTAAAGTACTTTTTTTTTTTAAAATATTGATACAACGAGAGACATAACCTTTATAAAAAAATGATTGAAGTAAATAACTTGTGAGAGTTAACTAAATTGAACACCTGCAAATGATCTCTAGCTCAACTGGGTGATGCACCCAGGTTTTTCCCCTTGTGGGGTTTTCTCGTGGAGGTGGTGGGTTCGAGCCTTACTCGGACCAAAGTGGTGAAATTAGGTGTGGCCGTGTGGGGGAAAGGGCGGCGATTCCGGGCAGCCCGGATTATGACCCGACCCGTGTCTAACGTTCATGTGTACTCCCGTTTAAATATAAACTCCGCCGTTTCAAAAAAAAAAAAACTAAATTGAACCTAGTAATCTAGTAATCACAGCAATAAAGATTAATGGTGAGAGAATGGAAATATTAACAAGACGAGGGGATGTTCTTGTAAATTGTAAGTCATCCAAGAATTCAAAAAGCTTTTCTCACATCCTATGCACCTTCAGGAAACCGAAACACCCACTAACATCCAACCGTCCAGATAACCTCCCTCTTAAATTTCACAAAAAAGTATTGGCCGTTGGATCTAAATTTAGGGGTTTAGCAATCCCCTCTTCAAACCCGCCCACACTCTTCTACCCTTCCAACGCAAAACACCGCAATTCTCCCCTCCACCGCCTCCATCTTTTTCACCGCGGTTTTCCGTCCAACCACCGGCGGTTTTTCTGCCGCCTTCTGCCGGTGATCATTCTCTATGTCATTTTCCGTTCAAGTTTTTGACCTCTTTTCTCCATGCTATTGTTTTTCCTTCAAAAGAGAAGTATTATTTTTTAGAAACTTAATTTTGTGTTGGATAATCAGGTTTTAGTAAAGTTCTTTCTATGGACGATCGATTTTTGTTTTTGCCACTTTCTACAAACGATAATTATCGTCCAACTGAAGCCAAATGCATTTGTTGTGTTGAATCAAGTACAATGTTTTTCAAATGGGATTATTTTTACATATACTTCTCTGCAAGTTAATTTATTTGAACTGTGTTGATTCAGGAAAAAAGATGATATTTTGTATTTTTCTTTTTTTAAATTCTTACCAATTTTGTCGTTGATGTTGATGTTATTCTTACGAGTACATGCCGTGTATGTTCTTCTTTGTTAACAATTGTAGAAATTGGCCACCGTTTTTGAATTGTACTTTCAATTTGCTTCGTGTTTCAAGAATCTTGTTCTTTCTATCTACATAGAATCGCATATATATTTTTTTTCTTTGAAATTGACACATCTTTTAGCATAAAGAACTTCACTTTTTACTCCAAATTTTCATACGATTTTGAAATTTATTCGTTTAACACTTCCAAAATTAGTGATTTTCAGGTGATAATAATAATCTTCAAAGATTAATATGCCGGGCGACAAGAAAATTATGCAATGTATCCTTTCTATATTCCCTTTATTAGTACTATATCGTATGCATGTCGCAGTTTAGGACTTGTAATCTGTTTTATTTGTTGCTTTTTATGTATATCTGTGGTTTTGATCTTCGAAAATTATTATTGTGGGGAATAACTTTGTTCATGATCATGATCATGTCTGGTTATTTATTTATAAGACTCTAGCTTTAGATTTCTTTAGCAGTTTGAAATCATTCAAAAACCTAGATATGGCACATTGAATTTAAGTAGGAATCACAAATTTATATTCCCAATATGGTTGAGAATGTATCATAGTTTCCATCCTCATAAGTTGTGGTTTTAACTTGTTTTTGTCTTTTGATTCTATGATTTTACTTAACTCTCTTAAACAGCTGACCCATTAGCCAAAAGAGACGATCAAAATCTGGTAATACAGTTTTTTCAAACTTCATTTCATTGTTTTTTTTTGTTAATATTATTGTATTTCTCTGAAATATTATTTGAATTCTTGTTTTAGGGTTCAAGAAAAGATGTCATGGTTTCAGGTGTGTCCTCTTCATCATCAGGAGTTCATGAATCTTCTGCAAAAGGTGGTGTTGGCAATGGAAACAAAGCAGCTGCTGATCAGGGTGATCACTATTCATCTACTAGCTGTTATGATTATCAGTATCCAGGTAAGAAGTTTCATGGTTACACTTATACATATATATCTTTATATTGTATGGTTTAATTTTCAGAAAATTATTTATTTGGTTTGATTGTTTATTTATACTAGGACACAATGGAACATATAGTCAACTAGATGGATCTAGTCAAATGAGTTCCAATGGGGCTGTTTACTCTGATAATGGTTCACTTCTTTACTATATGCCAAGCTATAATCCTTATGCTACTGGAGCTTATATGGGTGTTGATGGACAACAACATAAACAACAACAACAACAACAACAACAACCCTACTTTTCTTCATCAGAAGCCATGCCATGTTACTCATGGAATTCAACATATCCTGAAAATTCAACATCTTTCGGTGCAAAATCTGTTACTGGATCAAATGGGATGAAATCAAATGATTTCAACACCAAAAGAACCATGAATTTTTACACTGGAAAATCCCATAACTACCCTTTGGACATGAAGCCAAGCCAACATTCCACACCTTCAGTTCCTAAGTCGATCCTTCAGTCACAGCATTTCAGGTCTTTCAACAAGGTATGTGTTGATATTAGAGCTAAAAAAGTTGTGTAATTGTGTAATAGAAAGAAAGGGACTTGAAATGTTTTTATATTTTTATATGATTTTGTGTCAGTTGAATTCTGCTTACCAATCTGGGGGTCTTCAAAAAGGGTATCAACAATCTGGAAACTTCTCATCATTTTCTTACCCAAATCAAGCCCTATTTTCAAACTATTCTTCTGGTGGTAGACTTTGGAATGAAAACGAAAGATACAAACCACGCGAAAAGTCATACAACAATGGAGAATCTGAAGAACTTACCCGTGGCCCAAGGGCACAAAGCTTAAATTCACATATTGAGGAAGAAAAAGTTGGGTTCTCATTGAGACGCGATAAGTACAATCTTGAAGAGTTTCAGACAAAGTATGATCATGCAAAATTTTATGTCATCAAATCGTACAGTGAAGATGATGTTCACAAAAGCATTAAATATGATGTTTGGTCAAGTACACCAAATGGAAACAAGAAGTTAGATGCTGCTTATCGTGATGCCGAAGGAAAAACCAATGTTTTTCTTTTCTTTTCTGTAAGTGACTTTACTTTTAATCATTTATTTCATTTCCAATTATTGTTAAATTTACAAATTTATTTTTCAGGTTAATGGTAGTGGCCAATTTGTTGGTGTTGCTGAAATGATTGGATCAGTTGATTATGAGAAGAATATGGATTTTTGGCAGCTTGATAAATGGAATGGTTTTTTTCCAGTTAAATGGCATGTTGTGAAGGATGTTCCTAACACGCTTTTGAGACACATAATTCTTGAAAACAATGACAATAGACCTGTTACATACACTAGAGACACTCAAGAGGTAATTTTAAAAAATATCTTGACATTCTACTTGTTTTTTTATTAATGAATCTTGTTTATATTTTGTTTAGGTTGGTTTAAAACAAGGTTTGGAGATGCTTGAAATTTTCAAAAGCTATTCGGCAAAAACGTCTCTGTTAGATGATTTGAGCTTTTATGAGAACAGGGAGAAGATACTTAAAGCAAAACGGATTAGTAAAGCTGCTTTTCAAACAGAGGTAAATAATTTAATACTGAAGAAATAGCAATGTACTTTTGTTTATTATATAAAGTTGTATTTTTTTGTTTTTTTAGAATTTAAAATCAGGAGAAAGCAATGGGTTGAAGGATCCGACATCGTCTCTTATAAATCTTACACGGAATCTGTCTATTAATTCTAACACACCAAAATCCAGCATTGGTGATAAATCTGGATCGTAGAAATTGGAATTGGTGTAGTTTGTAGGATTTTAGGTATTATGGTTTTTATTGATTTTTACATTGAATGTCTTTTGTAGGGATTGAGATCACTTGTCTTTTGGTTGTTTTTGTCTGCTGTCTTTTTTGATGTGTTTTTGAGATGTAAAAATCAGGGTTTTCATCTTCTTTTGGTTGATTTGGGATAGTAGTTGAATGGCACATATGATTGGACTTGCTTTACTTTTTTTTTTTTTTTTTTTTTGTGCTTTATTGAATTTCGTTGGTTTTCACGTGTTCATTGAACTATATAGTTTTATGTCAATGTTGTCTTATGTTAGAAATTCATGTGTATTCTAGATTCTAGATGTCTAGTAATGTTCTTAATAGGGTATTTCCAGTAGGAAGTTTTTGAGATCTTTTAAAAAAGAATAATAATTGTCTCCAGCCGCTCAACGTTTTATTTTCAGTTTTTAATCCGTTTTCATATTTGGATATCCTCTTGTAACATTCTTGTTTATTAATCACTCCGTAGATTATAACCCGTATACTATCCGGTTGATAAATTTAAATAACAAAAAAAAAATAGTGTTAATTATAAATAACCATAATTTAGTTAATAACATTGTACTTCATTTTTTGATAAAAGTATTGTAATTCTATTTATTGAAAATTTCTGTTAATTTAAAAGCTGGAAATAACATTTTTTTGAATGAGGTTTGTGGTTAGAATTTAGTATCACAAAATCTATATTTGCATCATATATATAAAAAAAAAGCCAAAACCATGTAAAATCCTTTTTTAAAAGATGTTATTTCGTATTTATAATAAAAATCTTTTTTTGTTTACCATTATTTAACATGTAAAAGATGATTTGATATACAATAATTATGTTTTAAATTTTACATTTTATGTTATAATTACATTATTAAAATAATATATAAGACTTGTTAGAATAAAATTATATATTTATAATAAGCTCTAAGTAATAAAAGAAGCTATATGTTATCTGACCCTCTCACCAACATAAAATATTATAAATGATTGAAAACATTTGCTCGTAATTTTTATAAGATAACTATATCCATCTCTATGGTCACACAAATTTTTTTCCAACTTAGTTTGTTTTTACCAAGTTAATATGAAAAAAGGAGATGATAAGTTACAAAGATGATTAAAACCCCGTTATTAAAGTCTAAGAACACACAAATAAAAACAAACAATTAGATTTTCTTTTAAAAAAAGAAACTTAATTAAAATTCCAACAAAAACCAAAGTAAATATATCTTAATCAAACAAATATTCGAAACATACCCACTAAGCATCCATTCATTATGCCACATAACCACCTCTAAATTCATGAAAAAGGCAAAAAATGTTACAATCAAATATCAATATAGGCACAATTTATTTATATGATCTAAGTTAAGAATCAAGTATCAAATTCACTTTGCACCACTAAATTTTTATAGAGGTAATATCCAACAATGACACACCAACAAACCTATGAAAATACATTAATATTTCAAGAAATTTCAAAGTGCCATGTTTTAATAGGACAAACATAAATAAACACAGAAAATACATACAATAGAGTTTTAAAGTTTTGAGAGAAAAAGAATGAAGTTTATATCAAAAACATCATACTTTTAAAGTAGATTGTTATTAAGGTACATGTTAGTCGGGTTGAAATGTAAGATGAATTTAAGTTGTGTCATCTTAGTACATATAACCTATATATAGGGACTTAAAATGTGAAGTTGATAAAAAAATCAATTTTTAGAGTTGTTTTGACTACACCTACTGTAAAGGTAAACATAGGAGAAACAATTCGTTCTTTTTCATTTATTTTGCAATACACCACCTGTACAGTAAGTGTTGGACATATTTTGGTCATTTTTGTTTCATTTTTTTATCTGTCATATGCCTCAACCTAACCCACTGCATTTAAACTTGTAGATGTGTGTTTCAGTGTTTTTGGTGGCTGTTTTAAAAGTAAACCCAATTATAGCAATGTACTTTGAAAGTACAATGTTTTAATAAGAAAAAATCTTTTTAAAACTATTTTAAGGGAAAAAAACTTTAGAAAACCATGTTATAAAAGACCTTCCGAGTACTTTTTTACTCCTTTTATTTTGCCTCATTTTCTGCATTTAAGAAGCAAGTCGTTCATATCCTTCTTCATTCCTTTTTTTTTCTCTTTTTAAACCTTCAAAGAACAAATCAACCCTTACCAACAACAATATACTTTTTTCTGTTTTTGCTAATTACACACATTATACACTGAAAAAATGAAAAATGAAAAAAGAAAATGCAAAGACAAATTAAAGTTTGATGCTAAAATAATACATAAATAGAAGTAAAAAAAGAGTCGATTAAATGAAAAGATGGTGTTAAAAACATCCACAAATTTCACATACCAGTAGAATCAAAACCAAAAGATGTAATAGTAAAAAGTAAAAAACTCACCTTCCAGTCAAATGTGGTCACATTTTTGCTCTTATCATTTTTTCAAACTCTGTAGTGTTTCAAAACATCAACATTAGAGATAAGATTTCTATAGTTCTTTATACGAGCAACATTAGAAATAAGGATGAGCAAAGTGAAGTTAGCGAAGTAGTACTAATCAGAGTACTTTGGTGGTTAGAATTTACCATGAAATAATAAGATTTCTATAGTTCTTTCAAAACATCAACATTAGAGATAAGATTTCTATAGTTCTTTATATATATTTACTTAGTTTTTTTAAGAAATAGTCATACGAAAAAATATAATTATTTAGGCAATAAATTAAAAAACACTTACATATGAACGAATGATGTGAACGAAAAACACATAAAATTGAATAAAGTTGAATAAAAGAACAAACACTAACATATAAGTGAATGATGTAAACAAAAACCACATAAAAACATTAAATAATTATATTGAACAATTTTTAGTTATCTGGTTTATTATTTTAATTTGTTTATTCAAACAAAACATAAAAAAAATCGTTATATAATGTAAACGAACAAAACGTTAAAAAAAACATCAATGTATATATTTAAATAAAAAGTCAAAAATATTAAAAGATTTTTAAATCACAAAAGTAAAGATAAATAAATAAATCTAAGAATAAATAAAAATGTGATTGTATATAACTTAGATAACTGATTTAAAAAAATAAAAGCAATTTGATAAATAATCTATATTAATTCTATTAAAATGAAGTTCAAATAAAATCTATAATATATATAGATATATATATATATATAATATATATATATATATATATATAAGAAAAAGAAATGAACATTAAATAGTTTTATTGGAAGACTGATAGTTATCCGGGTTATTGTTTTAATTTGTTTATTCCAAAAAAGGGTTAAAAAAATCATTATATAATTTAAACGAGCAGAACGTCAAAAAAAAAATATATTAAATAATATATTCAAATAAAATGTCAAAAATATTAAAAGTTTTTTAAACCATAAAAACAAAGATAGATAAACAAAGCAATAAATAAATAAAAATATGATTTTATATAATTTAGATATTTGATTTAAAAAGATAAAAATAATTTTGTAAATAATCTATATTAATTATATTAAAATAAAGATAAAAAACAATTATATCTATATATATATATATATATATATATATATATATATAATATATATATCTATATCTATAATTGTAGAAAGAAAAAGAAAAAAGAAATAAAGGGTAATTTAGTCTTTTTATATGGAACAAGGACAGTGCAATATTCACAAATCAAAAGGATATAATCTTTCAAATTTTAAATTTAGAGGCCAAAATTAAGAATTCGACCAAACCATATAACCATTTTTGTAATTTACTCAACTAAAAATAAATATTTATATAAATAGAACTTTAAAATCATGTGCAACTGAATCTTACATGACTTGAAAATCCCATTCATAATAAATACTTAACTATATGTATATATTACAATAAAATATAAGTTATATAAGGCTATACGGTATGGCCTCGGCAACCGGCTCGACTATCTCGGCGCACACCGGGCCGACCTCTCGGCATGCCGAGCTCGGCTCAGTATTTCGGCTAAATGTTACCGATGAGAGAGAGGGCATTGGGTTTGATGATTTCAACGTTGGAGGGTCCTTTGTGACCGTTTTTTTCAAAAAAAAATTTCAAAAAATCCTCACTTTTTACCCTATATAAATAACAGTATATCTTATAATTTATCCCACTTAACCATCTTCATATTTTCACTCAACCAATACAAATTTTGTCAAAAAAATGGCTTCCCCTTCTAACACAAGACCTCAAAAAAATACCAAAAAAACCACCCAAAACTCAAACATTTCACATTCTTCTCCACACTTTGTTCAAAATCAACGATGGGCATATTTATTCTCCACCAAATTTACACTTTGGTGGAGCTTACTACCCATTAACGTTAAACACAATACCAAAACCAACCTCAATTCCAAAATCAACCACAAATTCAAAGGCAACTCCAATTTCAAAACCAACCACAAATGAATTTCTCATCCCAAATGGGCAATGACTTCAATCTATTTGATGATATTCCCAACTCGCCAATGAATTTCGAAACCCAAGCCCTATTTCCAAGTCAAGCAGAACCCGAAGTTGTCCCCGAAACGAAATCAGAGCCGGAAGAGAATCGCCGACAACCAAAAAAAGTGGAAGGGCGGTTCCAAGACACCAGCTGAAGAAAAAGCGTTAGCTCGTGCTTGGGTGAATGTTTCTGAAGATCCGGTGATCGGAAACAACTAAGATTGTCCAACTTTCTTCCGGAAAATCACGTGGCGTTTTCTCAACGAGATGAATCATGGTGATTATCGGAAAAAAGACCAAATTTATTCTAAGTGGCGAAATGTCAACAAAGTGGTGACAGAGTTTAACAATGTGTTTTTGAGTGTGAAACGGCAATGACAAAGTGACACAAACGACGAAACCATTTTGCAAAAGTCTCTTGAAATATGTCGGACTCAGAAAGGGGTGCCATTCAAATGTCTACATGTTTGGAACATTGTAAAATTGTCAAAAAATGGCAAGATGTAGGTTCTTCCGAAACTTATACCGGTGGTTCTTCAAAAAGAACCAACACATCCGAAACGACACATAGTTAATCATCCGATGAACATGTCGGGATTGACCTCAATGAAGAAGAGCCTATTGAGGTTCCAACAGCCACTTGTCCCATGGGAAGAGACCGAGCCAAGCGAAAGGGGAAAGCGGCGAC